ACTAATGGCTTAAAATTACTAAAACCTATATGCAAAACTAAACTAAGGACTCATGACTTCTTTATTCGTACTATTAACTACTGGAACAAATTACCGAACGATTTAGCTTGTGCGTCATCCTTAGCTGTCTTTAAAAAAAGACTAGATAATATCATTTACGATATTATTTAAAAACAAAAAAAAAAGAGAAGAGTTTACACCAGACAAGAACTGCAAGAAGTGAGAAATCTCGATTTTATCTTCAGGTTATATATGTTACTTCGAATTGTACTATATTATATTGGTATGTAATTTCCTCTTTAAATTGTTAATTTTTGTCATATTGTTTTATATTATATTAATTTTGTTTATGTTATTTTTTTTCTTTTCTTTTTTTTGTGTTTTCTTTTTCTGTTATCTTAATTGTTATTATTAATACAAGCACATGGCGTTGTCGCCCTGCTTGGCTGGTTATCAATAAATAAATAAATAATGAACTTATAGAGACAAGTAGTATTTTATTAGTGTCTGGTGTGTAGGGTAAAGAGTATTTTATTTATAATGATCTTGAGTCTGATTTTTTTAGTTGGCGATATGCTATCTTTCATTTCTTGTATTTCGTAGGATGGTTTAGTGAGTTGTTGCTCAATTCGGAGCGCTGAGGTTCTATTCCCCGCACGAATAAACATGTACAAAAATCCGGGTGATGCTGGCGACTCACCTGTATTTCTATCACCAAAAGACTCTTTGGCATATTTGTCCAATGCGACAAGCCAGTGGAGCGAGTTTAACCAGTAATGGCGTGGTCTCTCAAAAATTTCTTGCGTTTACAAAGTTATCATTGTCTTCAAGGTTTGTGGTACTATGGCCAAGGGCAATTTGTACATTTTTCGCATAATAAGGGAAAGATTTTTTTTTACTTCCCTAACGAACGTCAATTGGAAAGGATTTGTCATTTCCATGTACACATTACCCTTTTATCAGGGCGCCGCATTAACAGTTGCGTAGCAGCAAAATCAAGTAATGATGGATTGCTGATATCTGTGAAGCGATGTTTCAAGGCCCTATTTAGCATAAATATTTGGCTTGCAAGCGTTCTGGCCTGAAACTAGCTCAATGAAAGGACATCCTTTATCTTCATAAGGCTGAAAAGAAAAGATTTCTCCAAAAATGTCCAATGAGCTAATTTCTAAAATTGGTTATCACAGTACACCGTATCATCTTTCTTAAGAATTGGGCGAAAAATGCTTTGTTGCAATTATCTAATATTCTTTCTTTCATGCCAGAAAAAGTAGATTTTTTGAAGGTGATTTGGCTTTATCGTTAATAATCTGCTTAGGTGCTATTGATAATGATTCCTGTACTTTTACATATTTTTATAAAAGAATCCTCGTTCTTTTCAACTTTCATGGATCTTAGAATAAGTTTTAGAATAAGTTTTCTGATGCTTATAAGAAGATTGTTTATTACTCTTTATTAGAGCTAAATATGAAGTATAAATTAAATCTTCGCTAATAAAATTTCGAAATTTCTCAGTAAAATTTCCAGTGATTGCTGAAGATCGATTGGATCCTTGTAGAAACTTTTTGCAGAAAATTATTCATATAACAACCATCTTATTACCTGCACATATTGAGCATTTTTCAAGCCTTTTCATAGGTTTTGTTGGTTAATTGAAAACCTTCAGTCAATTTGAGGGTCTCTCCTCTGAGAACTCGTTATATATAAATTTTAAATAAAGTTCGCTCATTAGATTTTTCTCGTAAATCAATTATGAATGTATCGTTGAATGAGATTCACTCTCGGAAATTTCCTGAAAAGTGCCCAACTCTATTTGTAGCAAGTTAGGCTTTGACTTTTCGTGAGCATATTTTCGTTGTAACATTCCATTACGTTCAGATTCCTTGTTAACAATCTTTCTTCTCCAGTATCTCTCCGTACTTCTTTTCTTTTCTTTTCTGAAATTCCATACTTTTTTGCTCACAATTAACTATTTAGTTATCAAATATCTTACGATACTCTTGTCTATTTTTATAATAATCTGTGGAATGTGGTCTAATGAGAAGGAATTCATGTAATTCACAAGTTCTTTGGCTCTTTTGCTTGGCTCAATGGAGAACTTTGATAAAAAGCGATAATCAACGTTGCGTAGTTTATATTGCTCGAACAAACAATCAGAAATTTATTAAGATTAACGTTTGAGATTGGAACGATGTTCACTGTAGGCCTTGATAACACACCAGCAATAATATTATCTTCGCATTCAACATGGTGAATGTCAGAATTTATAAATTCTGCGATGAACGAAAGCATCGCTTGCATCGCGTTTCTCATGGAGAATGTTTGTTAGGTCGAGTATCGCAGAATCGCAGGTGATATCGCTTATATGAGTGGTTTCCGGTCAGTCAGTACAAAATGTCGAAAGTATTAACTTGCAAGCAACTAGCTTGTTGTTGAGAGCACATTTCCATTGATGTCGAGCTTTTGGAGAAGAAAGAGTTGAAGCCCATTTATATCCTTGGAGGCTTGGATCTTTTATTCGTGGTTCGTATTCCTGAGCCTAGCATTTTCTTTTTTTTTTGTTTTTCAATAATATCGTAAGTGATATTATCTAGTCTTTTTTTAAAGACAGCTAAGGATGATGCACAAAAAAGAGACGACATGGACCAATAACATTAGTCGCTGTTAGGCGCTTGTACGATCTTTTTATTTTTTTTATACGGTTTACGGTGTTATACGGTTTTATAGAATTCTTTGCCTTATCTCCGAATGGTATCAGCGTAGTTCTTTAAAGCGTTAATACGGCATGAATCTTTAAAGCGTTATTGTCTTTTTGAAGTGATTGTCTGTTCAATTCGTTTAAAGGTTTAGAGCGATTTCCTTGAAACGCAAATGTTTACAGAAGAGATGGATATTCCACTTGTTTCTAGAACTTAGTCTACGAATTGTTCGAGTGCATCTAATGTAGGAATGTCTTTAGTCGAATCACTGGTGGAAATGAGTCAGTTGGCTTGGAGCCGTTGAAAAAACAATTGCGGCAGCAGAATTTGGTCAGAATCGCCAGTTTATCGCCAAGCAATATTTACTCCTAAGGAGCGGTTGTAACGGTCTTTTATCAACAATTTCAGAATAATCACAGTGAAAAAAACAATAATGAATGAATTGTAATACTAAATTTTCTAATAAGGATGGCAATAAAGAACTATGTTGTGTAATGCACTGCAATTATGCAAATTCTGCCGCTTTATTAAGAGAAAAGAGCGTAGCCAGTGTCTGATCGAAGAAAAGTAACAGCCAAAACATGAAGATATACGAAATGCAGTTGCAAAGGTGTGTAAAAGACTGTAGGTGGGCAGAAAGCTATGAAAAAAATGATCTGCAAGATGACCGTATATTTTTTTGTAATATTGCGTAATGTACTAATATATTTTAATTTTGATATTTATATTTTGAAATTCTTTTTCTTTAAGAATTCTGCACTTTTTAATTTAATTTTAAATGTTTTATTTTTCATTTTCCATGGCTTCTTTCATCATTTTTCTTCGCATTTTTTCCATTAATGCAAAGGAGACGAGGAGTGGGGAAGAGGAAGAGGAAAAGGAGCGACTAGCTGAGGTCTTAATTTTATGATATTGCTCAGTCTAATTCGTTAGTTCTATTCGTTTAATGACCTAATTTCGGTTTTCATATGCGGTTTTTTTGATGAATGATTATCTTAATAAATACTATTTTTTTGTGAAAATCTCCCTCTTTTTTTGCTTCGTTCCCAAATCTTTTTTTTATTGCCTAAAATTTCGAAAGTGTTAAAATTTGATTATTTTAAATGTTGATTGATGGATGTGGTTTATGATCATTTTGCGTAAACTTATGACAACAGAGATAGTAGGATGAATAGGGTGGAACAAGAAGACGACTATGATAATGATAATGATGATGATGACGAAAACAAAACAGTGCGAATCCTTTAAGCTTTTGTTATTACTTGAATTTTTGCATGAAGGGAACAGCTCGAGCTTAAATTCGTCTGATTTATAGGATGCGTGATTGTCTTGTATTAACTGAGTTGAGTCATTATGTTTTATTTATAATACTAATATTGATAGTTTTGTAGTTGCATCCTAAAAGCTTATTACAATAATATATATATATCCACATAGAGGCGTTCATATTATTTTGGGTGGGACTTGAATTTTATTATAGAAAGCGCAGTTTGCATGGAAAAATTACTCGTTTTACTGCTCTTTTTTTATATCCATGTTCAACAGTTGTCAGCAATTGCAGTACATTAATTCAGGAATGGATAGGATAATTATGCGCATTGATCTAGATTAGTGGTGAGGGAGAAGGTTTCTGCCCGACAGGAGCAAATCTGTCATTACACTGCTTGGGGCAGACGCATTGTATTTCTGTCGTCAAATGACTCCCTGGCGAAAATTTCCACGCTTGCAGCCTTAGCCACGAATAGTAAACCACTTATTTTACTTATTTTTCAGGAAACTTGGTTATCAACTCGATGGAGTTTATATGTCAAAGACACTTATTTAATGAAATCTGTCGCAAATACGAAAAAAAAAAGAGTAATTGTTATATAACTAATTTTTCTACTAAATAAATCGATTATTACCGATTTTCTTTCCTGAGAATTTTAAAAGAAGATTTATTTATTAATTTACTCTTGCGACGTTGTATTTTCAGTCGGTTTATTCAGTTGTCGGAATTCTAAACAACATTTAATATTAATATTAATATAATATTAATATTTAAAAAACGGATAAGATTCATACCAAATATTATTACTTCTGTTGTTTTCATTGTTTTTCTATAAATATTTCATTTTAATGTATGAAAATGAGGATCGTTTTTTACGTCATCTTATTGCAAAATTTCTTCTTTCTTCTACTGTGGGTTCACAACGATCCAATTCAAGTCAGTTAAGAAAACAAAGTTTTATAGGGAATGAAAAATATGAAAATTAAATTTCTAAAGGATTTCAAATATTAAATTTCTAAACGATATTGGATATGTCACAAGAAGACGATTTATGCATTTTTTGTTCAATCTTCAATGTGAATACTATTTTTGGATTTATTTATGCGACTATTTTAATAATTGGTGTTTGTGGAAATTTATTTGTGGCAACAATGATATTAATTGATCGGAAAATGTTTGGCTCATCAATAAATCTTTTTATTCTAAGTCTGTCATTTGCTGATATGGGCAATCTTTTGGCTTGTTGTCCAGATATAGCGATGTTTCTTAATGGTGCTGGTTGGCTTTTACCTGATATTTTTTGTCCAACGCTAAGATTTCTCGAAGAATATTTCCTATATGCTTCGGTTTTAATGCAGGTAATAAATATTAATAAATGCAGGTAATAAATATTATTAGGTAAATGTAAATATTATCATGTAAATATTATCATGTAATATTATCATGTAAATGTAAGGTTGTAAGGTTTGAGGTGAGCCAGGTGAATATTGTCTGTTGGCTTATGAAAATATTTAGCACTTATCTTACTTACGCTATAAATTGGCATTTTTTGAAAAAATAAGCTCAAGTTTCACTGAACAATATAAGTCTTCTCAATCTTTCGTTTTTTCCCACTGCTTTTCTTGAAAATAGATGTAATCGTATATTTTTTAATTCAGGGAATTCGGAATAGTTCCAGTATTTCAAGGGATTTAGGATTCCAAGATGTAAATTTCTAATGTAGATTGGTCAAATGTTGGATCTTTATATTCTAAATTCGTCTAATAATGCAAAGAGTGATTGGGATTACTGCATTAGGTATAAGAACAAAGCTTTTTTAAGTCTAACCGCATATCTGAAAATGGAAGATACAGAGCTATCGTTGATTATGGGTGGAACTGTGAATTTCTAATAGGGTAGGTATGAATTTTCTTTTTGATTTCACGGTGATTCCCAAAGATTTCACCAAATTGAACAAAAAGGGCGCGTATCGTGCCGTAGGGGCAATTTGGACTTAATATATAGTGAAAAGAATTCCGTTTTCATATTAAAATATAGTCCGATTTTTGTTGCAATTGTCCAGAATCTAATAATTTTTCATTACTTCATGAGTGTCAGCAAAAAAAACTACGAGCAGTTTACAGAGCACTTTTGAGCGCGGCAAGGATTATGCGTAATCCATTATCCGTTGAGCTAAAAGGGAAAAAATTCAGTTCATATTTCGAAAAGATGTATATAAACTGGTTACTGGTACTGTTAAAATGGCTTGATAAGGATGATTCTCTCGAAGGCCTTTGCATTGCACTTTCAGAATCTGGCGAAGAGACTGATATTTGGAGCAATGTTTCAATATCTTTTTCAATGTTTCTCTTAGAGTGAATAATCAGCACATTCGAATTTTGAGCTAAATCTAAATTTGATTAGGGGTACATTCTGGAGTTGCCTACCACACTACTGTTTATTAGAAGGATGGCACAAATCGTCACTGGGATAAGCTGACATTAAGCTGGTTTTATGATTTTAAGAAGTTCATCCTTTCTAAGGAGATGAGGAGGTTATTTTTCTGCAGTTACATGGTATGATCTCATTTTCTCATACCAGTGAATATAGTCGGTGAGGGCAATTGCAAAAGACGCTTATGAACTATTCAGCTTAAAGGCCATCCCTAAAACTTTCACTAACTTCAGCTTTTCAGCTGCCGTAATTATTTTATGCTTTTAGTTGTAATTATATGGGTGGGAGGATGTTTCATTTTCTTCCCGTATGGTGGATGTTGGATTATATTTATTCTTAAAAAATTTAAAAAATTTTCCATCTTGGTGGTTTTTGAAGGCTGAAGCAGCTATCCCCTATTCCTTTCATTTCGATACGAGCGGCCGTCCATCTTTAAATTTTGAGGCATATCATTTCAGTGCCAGTGCCAGTTTTCTTTCTTCGTTGTTCTATTGTTGCACGTCTTTGAAATGTCCATTAGTTAGGATCTCCAGATATATGGATTTTGATAGCCTTTTCATGCAGTGAGACCGTTTCGATACCCAATTTAGTGGAGACATTTTATTTTCATTTCATAAAAATTGAAGTCTTAAAACACTTATTTTTTGAAAAATAATAGGTTTATTTTTTTTCAATGTGTAAAATTCATTCAAGAAGTTGACAAATTTACGATGAAGTCATTAAGTTGCTTTCTACGGCGCAATTCAATTTTATAAATGTTGAATGTTCGTGAAAATTCGCTGATAAAATATATTTTGGAGTCAGAGTGAGGACAAATGCTAATATTAATTTATATTTCCTTTCAACATCGTAAATATTTTATTAGATTTTTCGTATGGGACGCCGTTGTTTATCTCTAATTTTAACTAAATTCATCGTAAATTAATTCCTTTTTTAAAAAAAAAATTATTTGGCATTAAATGATAATTTAATTAAATGTAAATGATAATTATAAATAAATGATAATTTCATGTGATATCGTTCATTTAAGGAAGCCGTACGGTTATTCAGTTGTATGTTTTCTAGGCTATATCTTATCCTAGGTCATATCGCCTATATCTTCCTAATTTCCAAGGGTAAAAGCTGATTTTTTGCTCATAAATATTTGGCCTAAATTCATACTTTTGAAATTTAACTGCTAGAATAATAAATAGCATTCAATTTTGCAAACAGCATTCTTCGATGATGATTCGTCAATTTAAACTAATAGCTGCTATAGGAAATTACTATTCGAGAAAAATTTATGTGTAGGCATGCAGGAAAAAAAATGGCAAATATAAAATCGCAAATTTGCTTTTCATTTTTTTCCAACTTCAGTTAGGATGAAATGAAAAAAATTTGATTGAATTTTTCATGACTTTTAAAATTTTAATTTAAATCTTTTTATGCAAACTTTTATGAATTTTTTGGTTTTTTTAGTTTAAGTTTAAATTTTTTGAATTCAATTTTTCAAGATGAATTGAATGAAAAAATTTTGAAAAAATCTTTCTGCAAATTCCTTTTTTTTACTGGTGATTTTGTCATTTTTAATCTGCTAATTAAAAAGCGAGCAAAATAAAAAATTTTAATATTTTCATTCGGTGTCTCAGTTAATACAAATAATACTTGAGAAGATACGCAGGTAGAGTTCATTATTTCTGGTTAAATTAGCTCTAATGGCTGTTGGAATGGTCAGAAATTTTTTGCGAGATTTGATGATAAGCAGTAATATCAGTAATATTCTTTAATGAGAGTTCACTCCTGTCGGGTGCAAGAATCGAATGCATAAATGGTTATAATTATTTCGAAAGTACATACAATTATCTTTATTTGGAAAGCAGTAATAGTATATATATTAATTCAAATTAATCAATTCGAGGATTGAAAATTAACAATTATCCATCCAATTTTTTTTCTGCTTTTCTGATTTGACTTCTGTTAAGATTAGACTTTTTCGCTAATGAAGGTATAATTATAAACTGGTAGCCAGCAGGAACTAGCCGAATTTCACTTTAATGAGGTTTTCTTCAAAATAAACGAACTGAACTTGATTTTAATCGAAGCAATACACCGCCAATCATCATATCAAATCCACTAAATTTATTCAATTTATTTCAGTTTGTGTCCGTTGAATTTCGCAGGTACGTTGTTCATTTGCAAGTGTTTAAAATATGGTTGCAAATGCACAAACTTCCTGCGAATTTAAAATTTTTATAGACCAGAATATTTATATTTTTATCGGATTTCCAGAAAAAGGATTCCATAGAAGGATAAAGAAAATGATTTCATGCAAAATTAAGAAATTTCATAATTGATGAATTAGTTAAAATTGCATCATAACAATGAAATTATTTCATTTTTCGGTGGATCCTTATAAATCATTCCTTTTTCTTTTTCTGGGTGATATGAATTAAAAGGAAATAAATTACATATTTGTTGATGATGACGGCGATTTTAAAAAATAGCGAAATTTTAGGGACTTAAGAGAAGTCAAATTAATTTCGAAGCTTCTATCATCAATAATTGTGAAAGAAAAAACATTAAAATAAGCCTACGCTTTGACGATTGACGATTGTCAGAGGGGAGGATAACCAGAGAGATAGTGATTTGGGTTATCGTTACGAAAGGTAGCTGCTCGGTTCTTGTTCCTCAGCATTCTTCTTATTTCGTCACGAATGAAAATGTTGAAGAAGTAATGAAGAACTGCTAAATTTCAGCAAAATTTATCAGTATCATTGTATTAAATATCCAAATTATGATGTGAATATCTATTATTTTACTCCATTTCTTCGAAATTTCAAGGCAATTTTTTGCTTTAAAGAATGAATTAAGTAAAAAAAAGGACGAAGTTCCTGCGAATTTGGTTAGCGCTCATTATTTCTGGTTAGATTAGCTTGGCTGGATGTTAATGCCAAAGAATCATTTGCCAGCACCACAACTTTTTAATAAGTTTGCTCTCGGAGGCAGAAATTGGGGCTGCGATAGCTCAAACTTAGTCGAAACAACGTGATGAATCTTAATGGCTATTTTGATGCCTTTGCTAAATTACAGTATTAGAATTTTTTTAAATTTTCAGTGAAATTCGTTGATCTGAATAAGAACGAATAAAGTAATGGCATTATACGAAGAAAGTAAGGGAAATAGAAAAAGTTCTGGTTTCCTCAAATAAAATTAAAACTCTGAATTTTAAAGAGATATATCACCCAGAATTATCAATAAGGCATTATAATAGAAACAGAAATATTTTTCCAACATTTCGCTATCGCAAACATTACAAATTTCGTTAGAAACACCAAATTTAACGAGTAGCTGAAATAAAACGAAATGTCTCATTTAACATCGCCATTTAGCATTTCACATTAGCTGCATTGGCTGTTGGAAATTTGACAAAAGATGTATAGAGCACTGGCTTTCTTTGACGATAATTACTTCTTTCTTTGGAGGATAGAGACCGAATGCTTACATCTCGATTATCTGGCCACCATCTAATTCAGCTGTCTTTACATAATGGTATTCAAGTGAGGAAAATATGCAGAAGATACAACCGCTTTTTCATACTCCTTAAAAACTACAAAAATCTCTAAGCCTTAATCCAGCGATTATGGCATAATTTGCGTCTGGAAGTATGCTGCATAGAATTTGTTATATATTATGAATTAATTCATTCTTTTGGTCAGTTTGAAACCATCATTTAATGCATGGATTTTTTAAAATTATCTAAAAAAAATTTCAAGTCTCATTGGAGAATTCGCATTGGAAATTAATGCTTAATCTCTATAAAATGTCTTTATCTTGAATGACAATCACAATTATCTCTTATATAATTTATGATATTTTCCATATCTTCCATAATTTCACATTTTTCACAATTTGCTTTTTAATTTGCTTTTGCTTTAATTTGCTCAAAATTTGTTTTAAGCAAACATTAACATCGTTTCAGATGTCAATAGGGATCGAGCGTTTTATGGCGATTTGTACTCCAATGAGAATCAATAGGTTATCGAAGAAGACTTCAAGAATCTTTATATTATCTGTTTGGATAGTGGCTGCAATTTTCGCTGCACCTTACCTCATTTATCATCGAGTTTTTAATCGTGGCAATATGGTGCATTGCTTATGGAGTTTCAACTTGTCATCGAAAATCAGGTAAATAGATAAGATTAAAACAAGATAGTGTCCTTTAAAGTCAGATTGGGCAGACGCTGAAGGCACTTTTATTTCGAAATAATTTCTAGCGAAGGAGTTCCATTCTCGTGGATAGTGGAGCCAACTAAATGAAAATTACTGAATGCTTTAGAAAAAAAAAGAAAAACTACTTAACTGCTTACTTAGTTTGAAAGCCAAAATTATTGAACCGTAAATTATTTTCAATAAATACAATTTCTTTGAATAAATTTGATGGTTTTAACGAAATTTTACAAATTATGAATTATCCCTGTGGAAAAATTTTATAACTAATGAAAATTTTTCCAGAAATCTTATTATCAGATTTTCTATTTGATTAAATCTCCGCGAAAAGTTTTTTTATTTATTTTATATTGACATTTATTTTAAGGTTATTCTTCAAGTTTGCCGAATGCATTGTTTTATATTTTTTGCCATTAATTTTACTGACAATATTATATTCGATAATGTGTGTAAGGCTATGGGGTAAAACGAAGAATATTGCCGATGAAATGCAACAGTCGGCAATTCTCAGCCTTCGCCGTTCCGTTGTTAAAATGCTTATTGTTTCAATGCTGTTATATTTTATTTTCTACTCGCCTATCCAAGGTTAATTAAATTAAATTTAAGTTAATTAAAGCATTAAGCTGTAATTTTCCGTGAATTCTGTCAAAATGCTTCAGGAATACGTCATTTTAATGAATATTTTGTTCTCATTCCAAATGCAAGAAAGTAGGCAATTTCTTTTAAAAAATGACAGCACCAGTGATTTTCCAGTTTAACCGTTCACTAAGGTCATTCAGTCATTCAGTTTCTCCAATTTATTGAATCCCCCAAAAAAATAAATTTATAATGATAAAATAGCGGTGTAAATAAGTGGATAGTGAGTTAGATTATCGCACTATCACAGAGGTGGGGGGCGCCGTCACGAGTGAAAATCCGGGTTAGTGCTGGTAACCCGTCTTGTGAAGTTCTTACAGAAATGTTAACAGACAGAGCAGAATCTAAAGGAGGAGCAGTAGTCGGTCTTTCTTATTTAATATACATAATCAAAATTCTTTGAAAGTTTTTTTTTAATTACAACTTTAACAGCTCATATTTCCAATTTTCTTTAGTACTTTAGCAAATAACTTCTAACAGATATCTGTTGGAATCCATTTTATTCATCGTCACATTGAGCCTTTCAAGGTCTAATTTTTAATGTTTTAAGTTATCCTCAAAACTTTTTCCCACCAGTCCATAGGCTCAGCCATTCACTGATTTAGTTTATATAGTTTTAAAATTAAGACGTTTAAAATTCAAAGTTTTGAAATTTAAATATGAACTTTTTTCTGAAAAATGTAGTTCTAGATTGGTCAAGAAAAAAATTCTTTTTTTTTAACAGCTTTCTAACTGAATGCTTTTTGCTTTTAAAATTTTTCACAAATGGATTTTTACGAATTATGCGGGAAATATTCCAGAAACTATTTTTCATTAATTTATTTTCGAAAAATTGATCGATGAATATTAAATAAGAGTTGTTCAAATGAGTTTTCTTTCCTCTCGAATGTCAACAACGAATCTGTCAAATTATATTCATTTATAAAAATACTTTAGAATTTTCTACCTCTTATTTTCTTTCCATTCATAGTATTTATTGTGTTCTTAATTCGAATCGCAATTCGATTCCAACTAAAAATTTGAAAAGATCCACGATGATGGCAAAAGAAATGATAAAATAATGAGTAAAATAAAGTACTTCTTCGTACAATTTTGGATTTTAAAGAAAGGCTCTACAAATATCAAAGTGAGTATTAGCGGAGGAATAATTAATAAATTAAATATGGAACTGAATGGATGAAAAATAAAAAAATTTTTAAAGCTAATTTTCCTATTGATATGATATGAATGTGAATGATATAGTTAGAATCTATAGAAATATATTTTTTATATTTTACATTATATTTTACCGGTTGAGGAAATGCTTGACTTTAAATACCTTGGATCCACTCTAATCCCAAATGGCCAGGCAAAGGATGAAATTGTATCCCGGACAACGACAGTTAGAAATATGTTTTCCGGCTGATTAAACCTTTATGGAACCGTCGCGAGATCACTATAAAGACGAAAATCCGCGTCCATATAGCTGCAATTCGCTCGATCTTGTTGTATGGCTGCAAAACATGGCCAATGAGAATGGAAGATATTAGGAAGTCACCAGAATTTGACCACTTATGCCTAAGATATATTTTACGGATCCGTCGAGTGGATAAAATCACACATGATTATATCCACCTTCACTCAAATACCATCTGTATTAATAATAATGTTAATAATAATGTATTAATGATGTTATCACAGAGAGTCGCCTTCGCTCGTTAGGGCACGTTCTCCTTCGTCCACCACAAGAGCTGTCACATATTTCGTTTCTTACTAAACCGTGTGATGGATGGCGTTCAAAACGAGATGGGCAAATTAAAACATGGACTGATAAAGTCAGGAAAGATTTTGAACGTATAGCGGGACCAGCGATATATGGACTTAGACGATGGAGTGACAAACAAGGAATGGCTTCTATTAGTAACTATTAGCGATGGTGTCGGACAAAGCAGCTTGGAGATGTCTTCTCTTGTAGCTAGCGGATACACCCTCACCAGTAATGGTGAAAGCTGTTAGAAGAAGAAGAATCTATAGAAAAACTGAGGAAGTCTTTTGATATCATTCCAGTTGATTCGGAGATTCACCTATACTTCTATTCCCAAATGACTCTTTGGCAAATATCTTATCCAAATAGCCAGTGGAACCAGTCATAGAGGAAATGGTAAGTGGTAGAACAAGAAATTATATTACAAAGAAAAATATTACCTACATAACTTGGGTGTCATTTTGGTGATGATATTCATTAATAGAAAATTCGGCAAAATTTAATAATAATGAATTTTTTGCCATTTTCATTTTCCGTTGTGGGGCATTTTTTTGGTTGTTTCAAATCAATGAAGCATAATTATTTTTTTACTTCACAGTTTCATTAATAATACAACATGTCGAAATTATTTTAAATAAAATGAAATCACCGATAAAATGTATATAAAATATAAAATGAAATCATCGATAACTACAAAAAAATGTCATTAAAAAAATTTATATGCAAATCGAATTATGACAATGACTTTACTTTTGCCACAGTTTTTGGGATTTGGGATAAAGGGAATTCTTTAAAAAAAAATATTCTTTAAATTCATCTACTTATTATTATTACCTTTGTCCTTAGGCATATTTATGAAAATTATTAATGGCTCCTAGAAAGCAATTACAATTACTTCTATCGCCACTGATTCCTTGGCAAAAATCCTTCACCGTGCTAACGGAGCCGAATCTATGTATATGTATATAAATTTTAGTACATTAACCTTTCATTAATTGTTTATTTAAATTAGTGGAAAAAGCCATTTTTTCTTAGGGTGTTACTTTTTTGGTCCGCTGATTTTTGAAATTTTTTTATAAAAATTTTATCTAAAAATCATTTGGTAATAAAAATAATAGAGATATCTCAGCTTAGATTTTTTACCGTGAATTCATTCGGCGGAAAGAGCCAAACCCTTGCTGCTTAGCATGGTATTCTAAGCCATCATCCACCCAACCTTTATATTAAATCGTGAATTATTTTGACTTTGATTTATTAGAGGAAAATAGCCAACATTAGAGGAAAATAGTGAAAAATTGATGAAACTGAAAATAAATTCTAGAATTCTTTACTTAATGCTTTTTGTTACAAGTGGTTCCGATGAAAAAATAAAAAATGTGTTAATGAAGAAAACAATTGAAAATATTTTCGAAGGGTCTTATAAAAATCCTTTCTATAAAGTTCCATTTTTCAAGTAGAAATTGAACAATTTTTTTGGCCTTTTGTGCATAATTGTTATTTATTAATATGCTTTAAAAAAGCGAAAAATTCAATTTTCTTGACAAGTTTATTTCTGTCAACAACAATGTCCGAATCTTGACGCTCGAGATAATAATCTAAGCAAGGCCTTTAGGCACCGATGGTCATAAATATTGTAACATTAGGAATCAACCAAAATGATTTTTTCAATAATTCAGTGTATTTTATTCTGCTGGCTGAAAGTGGATTTGCCTAGAAATTCTCATTTTCCTAAAATTTGCAGAAAAATTAAAATTATATTTAGTTTTTTTTTCAGGGATATTTATTATGGAAATCTTTCTTCAGAGAAAATTTCATTTTGGACCAGCGATCCGACTCACTCTTAATGCTCTTTCTTTTTCGAGGTTGTTTTTTAGATAATTTATCACTGATCAGTTTCTTCTTATGTTTACGTTTAAAAATATTTATATGGAACCATAACCCATATGTCATATAGGTAGTGCGAACCCATCATTTTTTTATATGCAATTTATGTTTCTAAATCGTCGAAGAGTATTTTGCATAAAACTTGCACAGAGGAATCAAAGAAATTTAAAAAGCGTTTTTTTTCCATGTTCTTAGAGATACTAGCTGATACCGAATCATTGGCATACGAACGAATATAAAAAGAATCAATGAACATGTGACGTCGCATCAAAGAGACCTGATCCTTTCACCACAGAATCATTTGGGGATAGAGGTATAGATAGCCCCTAGCTGTCATCCGGGACATCATGACAAGTTTACTCCTGTCAAAGACAAAAAACAATAGAGACAATTAAGTTTAAAAAAAAGAGAAATTTAAAGATAATTTTAAAAAATTTAAAAATCAAAGGAAAAGAGTAAATTTATTTATATATATAAAATTTAATTTATAATTTGTTTGATAAAAAAAATTGAACAAAGAAATTCATGTAACTTTTATGAATGCTGCAGAATTAACATAAGAGAATAGCAGAGCAGAACAGAAAAACGACCTCTCAGGAAACAAGAACTTTCCTTAATCGCCCTAACCAAGCTGGATATAAACCAGGACGCGGTTGTGCCGCCAAGAAGGATGCTGGGACATCGCTTCAAATAAAAGCAACCCACCGTCACTTGCCTCATCGATTTTGCAACTGCCTTCGATTCGCTTGATAGCGCTCTGGAAGGTGATGGAATATAACAGAGAAAATCAGTCTCAGAGAAAATCATTCGGCGTATAAAGGCATTTTCAGCATTCTCTGACACAGGTCTGTGTACATGGGGAATTGACAGACTTCGAAATAAGAACTGGAATCCGTTAGGGCTGCGCCCTTTCCCTAAACAATATTAAATTATGCGATAAACTGGATAATGGGCATCGCTTGCCGGTAGTCAAGAGGAGTGCAAATCAGTCCAGAGTACAATATCACAGATCTCGAATACGCTGATGATGTAGTCCTTTTTGATAGTTATAATAAAATGCAAATAATGTTAAATGTTTATAAATGCAAATAATGTTACAACTGGAACAATGGACTCGAAATAAATAAATAATAAAATGAAAATGTTTTCATCTTATATATAAGATGCTGATAAATGAAATTGTAACCCGTAATGATAACTAGAAATGTGTTTTTTTCGATTGATGAAACCTTTATGGAACCGTCGCGATATCACCATAAAGACGAAAATTTGCATCCATAAAGCAGCGATTTGTCCGATCTTGTTATATGGCTGCGAAAGTGGAAGATATTAAGAAGCTATCAGCCTTTGACCACTCATATGTAAGATATATTTTACGGATCCATCGAGCCGATAATATTCGAGCATATCTTCGCTCAAATACCACCTGTATTAATAATAATATTATC